GAGAGAGAGAGAGAGAGAGAGAGAGAGAGAGAGAGAAAATGAGAATGAAAACAAACTGTCTAGCTGAAGGCAGTCAACTCCTAGAACAGCAGGAGATAATAATAAAATGATAGTTGCTTTTTGAAGTCACTAAGTTTTGGAGTGATTCATTATGCAGCAATACCTAACCAGAATACAGGCCAACACACACACACTGCACACAAGTCCCACTTCACAGGGCCTGTGTAGAGGCTCCTGGCAGCAGGCCTGGGTGTTCGCTACTTAGGCCCTGTGGCCAGGCTGCCAGGATCAAATCCTTTTTCCACCACTTCTTAGCTGTACAATCTTGGATGAGTAAATTAACACCTCTGCCTCAGTTTCCTCCTCTCTGAACAGGGAACCCTATCCGAGACCTGCAGATGGCACGGGGGTGAGGATGAAATGTGATAACCCACATGAAGTGCTCAGAACCACGCCAGGCATGCAGTACACGCTCAATAACTGCTTGCTGTGATGATATTAGTCAACATCTCCCTTTCCGCTTCCTAACAGGTGGGCTGAGAAACATGCCATTTCTGGCAGACACTCTGCTGACCGTCTTTTTCCATCACACTCAGGTCACCAGCTCTGCACCACACTTATTTGTTTTGTAAAAATGTCAGCAGCTGGGCCCCAGTCCCTTCCCCCAGGCCTGTGGAAAGTCAGCTCCCCTCCCCCTGCGGCATTTGTGTTCTGTTGCCTGCCACTGTCATCTGCTCCTTTGCCTTGCAAACCATTGATTAGCAGAACACAAAACACTGGCTAAGAGCTGACCTCAATACCTGTTTTTAAAGTCCCTTGCCCTGGCTCAGCCACAGAGCTGTGGGACACAGAATAGGCAGGCAGTGGAGGACAACAATTGGCTGGCCTTGAAATACCCTCATACCTCTCCTTTTGTGGGGTGGCTGAACGTTGCAGCCTTGGGGCGCCTGGTTCCTCCTACACACTGCTGGAGCGTGGTACTCAGCTTACCCTCCCAGAGATGGCTCCTACAGCTTACAGTGGACTAGGCCATGCCAGGGTGGCTCCCGCTACAGCAAGCCTTTCTCACTGCTCTGGGCCCCCTCAGGGTACCAGCAAAGGCAAAAGCCAGGAACCATCCCCCTAGGAATTAGAGAAGCAAGGGTCACAGAAGAACAAAGTCAGCAGCAGGGACCCTTTCTGTACAGCTGAGGCCTGCCTGGCCTCCAGGAAGGCTCCCTCTGCCTTTTTCTCTGGGGTAACCCTTGATGCTTCCCCCCCCCCTTAAATCTGCTGTCTGAGGCACCCATGCTTCTCTGAGTTTCCAGCTGTCTCACTCTGGGGGCCCAACCTCACAGTGAACCACCCATGGGTCTTCTTTCTCACTCTCCATTGAGGTGACTGGCTTCCCTACCCAGCACTACTAACCTCCCTGACATCATGCCTCCCTCCACTGGACCTCAGTGTGTCCTCAGGCATCTCTTCCCCCAGCCCCGGGGCTATGGGGGTGCACAGGCAGGCTTTTTTTTTAAAGAT